ACTCTGACAGCTAGGTGAAGCTGTAAAGATATTCTAAATATAGCGCAGTCTTGAAACCGATATAGATTTTTTTTGGACTACTTCCTAGTTTGGGGTATTGACTACTACATTTCTGGTTTCATGACATCCTCTGCTTAAAGGGGCTTGTGGTCCGAACAAAAGGGAATGTGATTCGTGATCAGAGATACTGACGGACCCTTGATGGCGTCTAGGATTGAGAGTGGTCCACTGGGAGAGGGAGCCAGAGATTGCTTCTTGGCAGGGAGGAAAGGAAAATCTGGAGGTGAAGAACTGAAACAGAGTCAATAGCAGCCTCCTGTCACAACATATTCCCACACACACAACACACACACACAACACACACACAACCACACCACACACCACCACACACACACACACCACACACACACCGCAACACACACCACAACACACACACCACACACTGTTACTCTAATCACGATCCAGAGCGCGCTGACTATTATGGCAGCTGAGGCAAAGAAGAGCTATTAAAACTTAATTCACCTGCATTTGCTCCGAAGGGTAAATATATTCCCTCATTGGATTTGAAAGCACGGCTGAATATATTACTTCAGACTTTTTAAAAACTGCTTGACATCCAGAGCAACTCACAATGAATGGACTCAATTTGAATATGCTCAGATATTACCGTGTGTTGATTCACATTCAACTGTTGTCATATAAACCGAAAACACTTCCTTCCCCATCTCCTACAATCCTTCTAACCTTCTCTAGATCCTCTTTTCTTTAACAGACCTCCTTCCTTCCCTACCTCCCACTTTCCTATTATGTCTCCTATCTTCTTTCTTCTCATTTCCTTCTCTTCTTAACCTATTCTGTCTCCTATGTCTTTCCTTCTCAATTCCTTCTATAAAAACGGGTTTCCTTATCCTTTCCTTCCCTCTTCCCGTCTCCTCGTTGACTTCTTACCTATTTTCTTCCCTTCTCAAGCCCCTATGTTCCTTCCTTTATCTTCTATAAACATTTCCTACTTCTCTCCTTCTATAAGTCTTTCCTACTCTCTCCCTTCTTTAACATCTTTCCTACTTCTCTCCCTTCTATAACATCTTTCCTACTTCCTCTCCCTTCTATAACATCTTCCTACTTCTCTCCCTTTCTATAACATCTTTTCTACTTTCTTCTCCCTACTCACTTTGCCTTCACTACACCATAACTTGTGTTCCTCCTTCTCCTCTTACCACTACTTTGTAATGTCTTTCTGTGCTTTCTTTCCACTTCTTTACCCCCTTTCTGTCACCTTTCCTCCTCCTTCGGGACCCCCTTGAAAACGAGATGGTGCATCTCAAGGGGTTCATCCCAATCAATACAAATATCTATATAACATTCTCTAACTACTATTTCCTCAATCTCCTCCTTCCTTCCTTAAACTCCATTCATTCATTTCTTCCTCCCTTGTCTTTTGTACCTTCTCAAACCCAATAAACGACAAACCAAAAAATGGTCCAATATCTAAAACGGTACAAACCAGCTTTCACGGCAGCTACGTGATACTTAAATCCATCATAAACTACAAAAAACGAAAGTGAAAATGACGTGGCGAAGCAGCTTTTCTCCTTTCACATAAAAGCCTCCGTCTGATTCCACGCATTGTAATTGTTCTTTAGTGGCAGAGCATTCACAGTACAATGTGCAAGGCCATCTTCAGCCAAGCTGCAGCGCGTCCGCGTGTTGATGTGAAAAAGGAATGTACAGTCTATTGACCCCAATTCTGTGGGTCTGTGCTTTCTAATCTTACGGCCAGATTTCTCTCCGCTCTGACTGTAATGGATGGGCCGGCCGTGAGGTAGCAGGGACACCACCTGGCCGCCGAGCCTCCGTCAGCAGCCCCGTCCTGACAGGCCTGATGGATGCAGCCTGATGAGTACACACACACACTCTGCTACAGCTCACCTTATGGGACTACAGCACAAACGCAGTGCTCTAATGCGCTGCAGGTGTTTGAATAAGGGCTTTTAAATGACTTACATTATGTTAGCAGTTTCCATTCAACAGCAGCATGTACACGCTGTAAATGTAAATAAAGAGTATCGCTGTGTGTTATTCATTTGAGGAATTCGATAACATTTTTCAAACTAACAGCTTGACTTATTAAGTTGCTACGGGGGGAAAACACAATGCAATTGTCTATTAAAGTGTGTAATAATGTATTTTAGTTTATTATACTGTGTTCTAAGTTACTCTGTATATTTATATTGTGTAAACTCTATATCTTTAACCGTTGATATGAATATATTCTCCGTCTAATTTCCATTTAATCGTACTATTTAAATCATTACTATGACTCGTTTACATTCTCCTGTGACAAGAATTTCCTAAATTGGGATCAATAAAGGAAGTCTGATAATCTAAGTGCAAATGTGATTATATTCACTTCCAAACTATCCCTTTGATATTATATCTTTGCAATACAATGATAGCACAATAAGAAACTATCTATATATTGTTTTTTCCTCCTAAATTGACCAGACTTAGTATTTGTTTTATCCGCTAAATTGCGGTGGTTGTGATCTCTGCAAAGCTTCCCTCTCTATGAGGGATTAACACAGCGCAGAAATCATTGTTAATTAGCTCTAGCTGAGACATCAACATCAAAAATGTTCTCTGACAGCGACAACAGCGAGATAAATCCGCCTTCAGCTGGGGACTACCTCCGAACTGCTTCCCGCTGCTCCCCGTGACCTACTTACCACCACTTGGTTCATCACAAAGAAACGGAGCGGGAGTTTCCGCAGCTTGAGCAAACATTTATCACGGAGTCATCTGATGACTGTCTGAACTGTATGTGGGGTCTGAAGTGAGTAATGCAGCTAATTCTGAGGAACTTTCGACTAATTCTCTACACTGGAAGTATCATCTCAGAGCTGCTGTTTGGGTGTCAGTGAGTCGGGAAGCTTGTTTTTTACCGCGCAGCATCATGATCTCACACCCAAGTCTTCCTCTTTGGGAGGAAGCTTTGATTAACGTAATAAACAAGGAACCAGCGAACGGAAGTGTTACGTAATGTCGAAACAAGTGATCTCGACTAAACAAGGAAGTGATGCTTCCCTATTTTAATGAGAATTGTAAGGAATGTGGAGCAGGGTGTGTCCGTTTTCGTGTGTGTGCAAGAAGGTACAGGATGTTAGCCTTTGCTCTCAACATGTGTATTAGCGTACAGTTCATCCAATAGGGAGGCACAATTAATCAAAGCTTTATGGAAATGGAAATATGGACAGGTGCCATATTCATATTAATAAGGTAGCACAATATTAAGTAACGGGTCAATATGTTTTTATGTAAATGTACGGATATTTTTCAATTATAAACAAATAATGATAAAGATAATCAATTCATCTGATATCGTTATCGCGATATCAGCCCAAATAATTAAAAAACAATTTTTACAAAGCCATGTAGCCCTAGTATATAATAAGTCTAATGTACACGTGGCCATGATTAACCCCCATTAGGTTATAGGGACTAAAAAGGCTCCGATTTACAGAGGTGTTTACCAAGAATGTATACATTCTACCAACAATGTGTCGTTATTTAAAGAAATTGTTCCACATTTTGAGAAATTCGCCAAATACGCGTATTTTTGGCGAGATTACGGTAAGAGAATTTATGCAACTCTGGTGTAAATGACGTAAATATGAAGCTATAGCCAGCAGCGCGTTAGCCTAGCGCAAACACAAAGTGAGAAGCAGCCAGCCTGGCTCAGGTTCAAAGGTAATAAACTGGTCTTGGGATCATATATTTTACGTTTTGATCAAAGAAAATGTCGCTACAAAGAAGCAGCCTGTGCCTGGACTGCTGTTTTCATCAAATATACATTGGACAATACACCGGCTCCAAATGGCTGCAGTCCATCCGAATATCAAAGTGATTTTTCCTGTGTTTTAAAAGGGATTGCGTTGTGAATTATTCACAGTCTGCACACGGGAGGATTGGATGTAAATGCAGGACACGATAGAACAAAACTAACTGTTTCCATCTTGTTGGAAATTAATAAAACCGCAACTCTCGCCCTGAATTAATATCTGCTCTGTTTCAAAAGCTGCACTGTTGCATATAAATTGTGACGTTTGACTGGCTGGGGGTTTGATCTGATCTTTCCTCTTAGAATAACTGAACACTGCCTGGTCAAAAGAAAAATGTAAATTAATGAAAACGTTCTCCCAAACATAGCGGGATTCCAGAGGTTGGATAGATTTTAATTTTCCTGAATTATTGTGATTGAAAGTCTGCAAATCCACAAAGGGCCGTGTTATTTTCCAAAGTTTTTGTATTAAGTTAATTCACCCGATAATTCATTCACCATCGTGCTTCCAGCTCGTATACAGGGGAGATAATTAATTTCTCTGCAGTCCAAAGCTATTTCTATTATTCACGCCACGTGTCCAATGTTTATGTCCTCAGAAGGCGAGACAGGCTTTAGTAATAATGGATTGGTTGATGTGGCCTTCCTTTAACTGCCCTGGAGCTGTTTTGTGTGTGTGTGTGTGTGTGTGTGTGTGTGTGTGTGTGTGTGTGTGTGTGTGTGTGTGTGTGTGTGCGTGTGTGTCATTAATTTTAGGGTGAAGACTTGGTTAGGGTAGGGGCTAGGGTTAGGCATGTGTTGGTTATGGTTAGGGTAAGTCTCCAGGAAATGCATGTAAGTCAATGTAATGTCCCCTGAAGTAATGTATACATTGTGTGTGTGTGTATGTGTGTGTGTGTGTGTGTGTCATTAATTTTAGGGTGAAGACTTGGTTAGGGTAAGGGCTAGGGTTAGGCATGTTATGGTTAGGGTAAGTCTCCAGGAAATGCATGTAAGTCAATGTTATGTCCCCTGAAGTAATGTATACTGTGTGTGTGTGTGTGTGTGTGTGTGTGTGTGTGTGTGTGTGTGTGGTGTGTGTGTGTGTGTGTGTGTGTGTGTGTGTGTGTGTGTGTGGTGTGTGTGTGTGTGTGTGTGTGTGTGTGTGTGTGTGTGTGTGAGCCTCCCTACCTCGTTGCCGTACATCATGAGGTGGTGGGTGGCGATGAGGGCTTTGAAGACCACCACCCAGCTGGAGTTGGCCGTGCGCTCGAACAGCGTGTCCGCCAGCTGGGGAATGCTCACATTCATCTCATTGGTGCAGTGGATCAGATCTGAGAGGAATACAAAGAAAAGAGTTACACAACAGAAGTAATGAGAAAAGCTTTTAAAAGGTTTGATAACCCTGATCGAAGGCAACAACGGCAAATTGCTTTTCACACAGAGATGGAAAAATGCAGACGTACCAAGGACGGACCAAACACTACGGATGAAAACTGAATAGAAGTGTGAAGGACAGATGTCTTTTTCTAACCTCCGCCTCCTCCTTTCATGACTTTTACTTGTATCCCTTTTTCCGAGATATATTCACAGAAGTTCAGATGTGGGACATTTACCGAGCCTCCAGGCGCATGAATGTAAAGTTACACAACTCGCAGAGATAAGGAAACTATTATGATTTTGACACTCAGAAGTAAACAAGTGCAAGTATTTCTAAGGTCTTAAATGTGCAGTATATGTATTTATTGTATACTTTTACAACGATTTACAAATTCTTTGTCGCTCAAAGTTGGTTTGGTTTGCTTTCAAACACGCTATATTGCACAGTGGGAAGATTAACCAAGTGACTGAACCACGGGAAACTCATCACAAACAATGAAGTTCATCATGAAAGTATTTCAACTAAATTGAACAAATATGAGTTTATATTCTGAGCATCTGTTAATGAAATAAGCCGATAAATAAAAAGTATTATTATAAATATCTCTAAGTATGGATCGCTGGTTGGACGAAAAATACTTCTGTTGGCTGTGGGAAATGGCTTATATTTCTTAAACCATGTGATTAATCGATATTCATTTAGTGGATTGTTTGATATAATAATAATATGTTTGCAAAGGACAGTTTTTATATTATCTTCTTCTATTCAATTGCCGCAGGTGCAGATAAACTCAAATGCATCATAGAAAACATCAAAAGTCCATATACATGTGCACCAATGTAAGAATCTGATATGCAGAGACGGGAAGGTTTAAACATTCATCCCAGAGGCGACAGAAGTCCTATTTCTTTTACAGAAGATCTTATCGAGCCATCAATGCATAAAACCCTTTTTAATTTACTACAAGCCGACTTCACTTCGAGGTGCTCGATATGACCGCAGCAGATCCTAACAGCCCGGCACTAGCTCACCACTTTAGTTGAGATTGATTCAAACTGATTCACAGGTCCCCGAGCTTATTATAAAGATTCAGTGTCTTCACTCATAACCGGTAACACACACAACGATCCTCTCAAGCCGAAACATCAATACAGACACACACACACACAGGGCTAAATCGATCATTCAGACTAGATATCAGTTTTTGTAGTTTCATTTCCCTGGCGTTTTCCACCCCCCTTTTTCATTGCTTCGCCTCTACCTCCAACCAGTCTCTCTTTCCACTCCCCATCCTTTGTTCTGCACCACAGGACATTATGGGCTGCCGGCTCTCACACCTGGTAACTACAAAAACAGCTTCTCATTAGACAACTGAAGGACTAGAGAAGGGAGAGTCCCGTCGGGAGACTACATCATAACCGGGTGTCCGCGCTCATTCAATAAAGTGCATCTTTGCTCTACTCACTTAACACATCATCTCCCTCGAGCTCATGCCCACACGTACAGTAACAAAACACAGCAGACCTCAAGTCTAGCATTTCTCTCCTTCACTCAACATGGGAGCTCTCCTACTTCACACACACCGTGCAGTGAGCTATTAAGTCTATTCAAATTATTGTCACGTAATACACAAAGGTACATTAAAGCATGACAACCAAGCAGAATAGTGTTTGTTTAGCAGCTATCATAGTGTCAGGATTTCATGCCTGTTGGGAAATGTTCCAGTTATATGAAGGCATGAGCGTAGCCCCTTCTCACAATTGCATTGAAATCAGAAAATTATCTAGCGTCACCCGGAGGAGCTGATCAGAAATGTATGAATAATTCAGAAAGGATATCAAACGGACTTTACTCTGCCAGCGTTCTAGTTCAAAGTCGGTGTTTTGTCCGATTGAGCTATTGGTGAAAAGAATGGCTCTGATAATTAATGATGATAAGATTGGTCGGTTGATGACGTTTCTATCGTGACTGTCTCCTATTGTGTGCTAAACTCCAGACATCATCTGGACCTGGTGAATTGATGGCAAGGGATTGGACGTTTTGATGACGCTTACATCGTGACTGGCGTGGTGGAAGAAAAACAAACACCCAAGGAGGCTTTTACGCAAAGTCTATCTGGAGAGTCAACGACATTCGGGAACTTAAGTAAGGGCCGACGCCAAAATAAGTAGAAACATTCAAGAACGGCCAAAAGCCTTCGGTCAAGTTGTGCGCTATAGCTAGGCGAAACAGCAAATCTCCTGATGAGTGCTACATGTGTGAAAGGTACATCGTTTGGACGCGATGTTTCGAAAGTTGTCCGGAGTTGATTAGCGAAACGTTCCAGCAAATAAATGCAAATGAAGAATGAGTATTTTTAACACCAGCCTTGCTATCTTCAACTTGTCTTTCTGTCTCTGTCCATCTGTTTCCCCCTCTTACTGCATCTCTGCATGATATCAACAATGCTGATTAGATACAATTCTCTAAACTGGAAACAGGCATTTAAAGTTTCTGGAGGAATTGTTTTCAATCAATCTCTTACATTTCCGCAGCTACCTTTTTCTCTCCGCCTGTCCATCTTCTTTTCTTTTAAACCTAGCTCATGTTTTTTTCATTAGGTCTGGAAGTAGTGTGTGAGAGAACGAAGAGAAGGGCTGATTAGGTCTGTGGGGACGCTTGTGCGTGTGCGTGTGCACGTGTGTGTGTGTGATAACGTAAAGAGGGGAGTACATGTGCTGACTTAATCAGGCAGAGTGCAAAGCTTTAGTTGCCACTGATCCCAGAGTCCGGGGAGAAAAAAGGAAGGCGAGTCTATTGAGGCAAAAATTAGGGTAGGGGTAAAGAGAAAGGAGAGTTAAGGGAGTGATGGAGAGATAAACGAGGGAAGGTACAAAACGATGTAAGGACTGACCGAGAATACGGGGAAAGGAGAAGGATATAGTCAAACGAAAAGATAATGAGACATGAGACATGAGTGTCTCATCATCCAGACAATTTGCAGGAATCCACACACAGCTCAACAAGCCTCCTCGCCTCGCTTTATCTCGCCTCTCCTCCCTGACTTAGTATGCAGCAGAAGCAGGTCTGAGAGGATGTGTTTTTACCCCCTTAAGCAAACCACGAGCAGTTACACTGACCACGAATGGAAAAATACACAAGATGCACGGTCAACATCCTCAACTGGAAAGCTTTACTGACATGTCAACGTTCTGCAAATAATTACATATTACACGATATATAAACGGTAAGATAAATTGTAACGTAATGTCAAAAGTCTGTTCTCACCACAAGTAGTTCTAAGCTCAGTTTAGGGGTCTTGGTGCGATCTTTGCTATTGTATTCTCCGTTTACTCAACACCGTTTTTGTACCCAGAGATTTAAAATAATCAAACTGCACTTCATTAAGATGTGCTGTGATGAGAGTCAGGGCTCGACATTAAGGACTGCCCGATGGCCCGGGGCCATCTAGTATTTAGCTCGGGCAATGAAGCCTCACCTGCTGGTTGCCCGATCGGGCAATCTATTATGCCAGTCTCATGCAGCTCGCGGATCCAGTAATGAGTGACCCGACGGTAAAACTAAACATATCTATAACTAATTTAGGTAGTTTGAGAGGTAATTAAAATAGCTACGTGTGATATTCTAACCTGAAGTGTGTGTTTTGTCCGCTCACCGCTGCATGTGATCATGCAGAGCTGCGTGTCGACTCGTCAGCAGCAGCTGATCTCTCTCTCTCCCTTCAGATTAGACTTCACTCGCGTTTATGTTAGGGTGACCAGACTTCCCCGTTTTCCGGAGACAGTCCCCGTTTGTATTGGCCTGTCCCCGGTTGAAACTGTCCCCGTTTTTTAATATACGTTAAACACACATAGCAAGGTGAAATAAAATGTTTCATGTCAGGAAACACTGGGTAAACAGACTGTGGTCAAGCCAGCCCGCACGTTGTATTGCGGTGCGCGAATATCCTATGCATTACGGTAGAGGCCTGTAAAAACTGCCTTCAAAATAAAAGCGTTTACTCGGTCAATAAGAGATATACCTAAAAAACACACCAAACATAATCATATATACTGGAGCTTAAATTAAGAAATATGTACTATACTGTATAATGTGATCAATAATAATTTAAAACAAACTACGTATAACTACCACATTATAACAGTGAATGTAAAATGTAAGCAGGCCTATACAGTTATGAAGACACATCTGACATTTCCACTGGGTGACTTTAAAATATATGCTGTTTAAAATCTCAAATTAGATCTATTGTCCATCTATATTTTGATTATTATTTAATGGAAACTGTCCATAATCAAAGAGTCATTCGAAGTCAATCAAATACTTATTTCAATTCAGGGTGATAGCAGGAGACCCCATCTAGTCAATCAGAGAAAATCAGGACAATCTGATGTAGAATTTCAAAATAAAATACTTTTGAAATCTCATATATGGGCTATCGTCCTTCTGTTTTTACACAAGAATAAATAAAAAACTGTCAAATTATCAAAGACTTATTTCACTCCAGGCTGATAGCAGGACACCCCATCTAGTCACTCAGAGAGAATCAGGACAATCTGATGTAGAGTTTCAAAATAAAAGACCTTTGAAGTCTCATATATGAGCTATCGTCCTTCTGTTTGTATCCAACAGTTCAAATGTTCGAATTACATTGAACCAGAATTGTCCCCCTTTTTTCTTTAACAGTGAAGAAAATTGGATATGTTAATGAGATATTGACCGCAAAACTCAAAATGTTCCCGGTTTTAATTTTGAAAATCTGGTCACCTTAGTTTATGTCCATATCGATCAGATCCAGATAGTTCTAGCTAATGATATGACTACCTGCTTATTAAAAGACACCTAAACAATAAGTGTGGCTATGCAACTGGTTGAGGCCACAAAGTATAGCGCAGCATTATGCATTTGTTTACATGCCCACCGGAACCCAGAGGCATTACCAACAGATCAACG